AATCCGCGGCGTCCGAAGCGCTAAGAAAAAAACGACCCTACCGCCGCGACAACAGCGCGGTGATGACGCGCGGTGATGACATCGCGACTTTAGCGACGCGATTTAATCTCCGCTATTTTGCGTAGCGCGGTTTTGTCGTGCCACGATCAGGCGCAAGCATACCAAGGGCGACAGGAGGCTGGGGGATTAGGGCTGAATGACCAGCGCCAATTCAGGGGAAAGTTTGATGGAGACTCAGATCAGTTAGCTCTATTCCTTGATTCAGCTGATATCCACCTAGAATGCTATGGGCACCTCTACCCATCCCCCAGAACCATGGTGAATGTCATCGCAGAGGGTCTAGAGGGAGAAGCAAGGGAATGGCTAGCAGCCCTCCACAAGAGGAGAGTCCCCCAACTGCAAGACATAGATGACTTCCTGTGACTGCTAGAGACCAAGTTTCAGAAGGGGGAGGAGGAGGACCCATATGCAGAAGAGGAACTCAGCAAACAAAAGCAGAGGGGCCGCCCCATCAAAGAGCACATCTGTGAATTTAGGAGGGTCATAGGAAGGCTACCCCCTTTACCAGAGCAACTGCTGGTGCATTTCTTCAGAACAAGCCTGGACAAGAAAATTGCCCAGGTAACCGCATACCGCAACATCCCAAATCAACTCTCTGAGTGGTTCCAAGTAGCAACAAAAGTCGACAGTGGGCTGCGCACCAATGACATGACAAAGCAACCAGACACACAAGAGAGAGGTCAACCCGACCTGAAACTACCCAGCCAGCAGGGAACCACAGCACCACAGCAGGCTCTGAGACCAGCCCTCCCTAAAGTCCGCTGAAATGCTACAGATGCGGGGGGATGGGCCACATGGCAGCTACATGCCCAACCTCAGCTCCAAAACCAAGGCCACACCCACCGCCCAGGGCACAACCAGAACGAGGCCCCAAATGGACCACCAACACGTCCAGGAAAGCCCTCCAGGCTGCAGATGCCCCTTCCCCCTCAGGCGAAAGTGGTGGAACCCCAGGCAACGACAACCAGCTGCCTGAATCATATGACAGCGAGGATGAGGGAGAAAATGACCCAATGGTGAGAGAACCAATTCACCCTTTCCTTTTTCCGATACGCCTCACAGCCCCAAAAACAAGAAACCAGGGGGATTTTCAAGCCCTAATAGACTCAGGCTGCACAAGGTGCTTGATCAACCTAACCACAGTCCTGAAACTGGGGATCAGAGCAAAAGGTCTGGCCCACCCGATCCGGTTTGAGCATGTCAACGGGTCCCTAATGGGAGGAGCCTATGCCACCCACCTGACTGAACCAGTGAGGCTAGAGGTAGCGGATCACTGGGAAGTAATTCGATTCATAATAGCCCCCAAAATGACCGATACTGTCATACTGGGACTTTCCTGGCTAGACAAGTGGGGACCGACCATCTGGTGGCAAGGGTGTACCNAATTAATCAGTGGAACAGCTTGCCTCCAGAAGTTGTGAACGCCCCAACACTGGAAGTCTTTAAGAAGATGTTCGATGGCCATTTGTCTGAAATGGTATAGGGTTTCCTGCCTAGGCAGGGGGTTGGACTAGAAGACCTCCAAGGTCCCTTCCAAATCTGCTATTGTATTTTATGGGATTTGTTCACGTGCACATCAGCTGGCCACTTGTGTGGCCTGGTTCCCCTCTTCCATCCCACCCCCCAAGATGGCCCACCAAGCCACAAAGTTTGGGGACCATTATTTTATAGGATTGGAGCAAAATTGGTTCCCTCTTCATTTTATTCTCTAGAAAAACCTACTTTAGCTGATCCTCTGTATCCATTCCAAGATGCGAATTGATTAATGATCACCATTGGATTACACAAGACTAGGGGGGGAAACATACTCTGCTGGGAAATGACCACAAATGAAAATCTCCCTGCTGCCAAGGTATACCTTTCTAATCTTTGCCTCACAGGTTGAAGTTTAAAGATGAGGGGTGCCATGCACTAGAAGAATAAATACCAGCTGTTGATTTCAAAGTAAATTTAGAATACAAAGCTCTGTCAGAACCTGCTGAATACCACCGCTGCAACATATACATAGAAGATCAAAGCTCTTGCTCTCTCTGCAGAGCTCGAGTTCTTGTCTTCTCTGAGTCTGCAAACATTTCCAAAATGGTCCTTTTAATTTCATTCTTAATAGGGCTACAGGTACTTGATGCGTTGGCTGTCTCTCCACCTCTTCAGTTTGTTTACCCACCGTGCAGCTCTCTGGAGGTAAAGGCTGCTGCGGACGCGGCCATCAATGAACTCAATGCACGTCGGAACGAAGGCTATGTTCTTAGACTCCAGCGCATTTTTAATGTGCACGAAGACCAAGAGATAAGATCTCTTCCCTCTACTGTCTATATTTTTCCTTTCCTTCCACTCAGCACAAACCATTGTGATGTTGAATCGTGGTAGCACTGAAGTATCTGGACAGGAGAATAAAAGCTATAAAATCACTTGATAGCACCCAAGAGATGCAGGCAATTACCATGCTACCCTTGAATCTACAGGGCACCCAGATTCTGCTAGCCTAGATTTGATAGCCTTAATGCTTCACTTAATGCTTCACTGAATGAAGTAACTGATTTGAATTCAGTGGCAGATCTTGATGCCTCTGGGCATTCCCATTCCTGTTTTTTTGGTTAAATGGTACCTGGTAATATCTGTGCAAGACCATCTGAGTTAATCCATTGAGATCCGGTTTCATGAGAATGGATAGTCATTCTTTGCTAGGATTAAAATAAATATTTTGCCACCTATTGCGAACCTTTTAGACTAAACCGTGATTCTGAGGACACTGGTGCCCTCTAAATTTGTTATGAAATGTTCCAACATGCTTCAGTCCTTTTCTGCCCAAATCTCCAACCGAACAGGACCTGTGATCGATATATCATTTAAAGATTCTCGGAGAAATAGGGAAATGGTGTTCGAAATTCAGAGAGGAAAATTTAAACAAGGGGGAATTATGACCAAAAAAAGTCGGAAGTGATTAAGTGAACCTGTCTTAGGTTCCTCGTAGTTCCACAAATGCTGTAAAGGGCTTTATCCATGGCAACATTAAAATATTGGGAGATTCATCCTGAGGTCTACAAGTTCTCTTCCCTTTCATCAGAGAGTAAGTGGCATCATGGAAGCATCCCACCAGAACTGTAAAAAGTTTTAGCACGTGCACAATATTGTTAATTGGTTAAAAAAAATTAGCCTTGCATCAATAGACCGCCACAATGAGGTTTATTGGAAAGCGAGATGGGTGGCATATAATTTAAATAAATGTAGTTGGATACTGTGGAAGGTGCTGGATTTATCTGAGAGCGCGGATGGTTTCTTGAGATCAAGTGAGAATTGGTTGAGCTGCTTAAGACGATGGACACCCTGCTTTGCCCTTTCAAGAGTTTTCTTTTGCTTGTCCATAGTGGGATGGAAATACTCGTTTCTTCCTCGTTTTGGATGTGTTAGAAACCGAATGCCATGTCCTGAGCAGAGAATCGTGAAAAGAATGCAAGATTCAACAACTATTCGAGACAGTAAGTAAGCAATCTTCCTATTTAAATAATGACCAATGAAAGGAAGTCAGATCTAGGTTTTGAAATGGTTTGCAAAGGCAGCTGAGAGAGTTTCTCCACCCTCCCTCCACCCTGCCACTATGTCCGACATATAAAAAAGTGCCAGCCTGCGCGCCAGCAGAGATGGGTAAAACACACACACACACACACACACACACACTACCTACAATAATACAATTACTTACAAATTCAATTAATTTTGAATTCCTCCCCCTCCCTCC